TGTGTGTGTGTGTGTGTGTGTCATCTGCCCCTATCATTGCAGTCTATTCCAGAGATTTCTCCCATGGTACCCTAGTTTATTTACTTTATCTACAATATAATGCTTCAGTGAACATTAGCAACTTTGAGACACAAGTTTCAATCAGTGGTCTCGCGGCGGTGTGTGCTCAGCCAGGTGCAGAGAAGAGATGAACACCGCCGCCGAAGAGACGCTGCGGCTTTCAACCGGAGGACTGACAAAGAGGTCCCGAAATAAAACCGAATAAAAACGGACAGCGGGGAAAGCAGAAAGAGGAGAAGCAGGGAAGAAAGCCAGAGAAAATAAACTGTACAGGACAGCGGGGAGAAGAACTGGCAGAAAAGGTGGTGGTGGAATAAAAATTTATTTTGTGATAAATACAATTGTGTTGAGAGATGGGGAGAAAGAGTGAGGTAGACAGACAAAGGGAATGATAGAAATGGACACAAACAAAGTAAGGGAGAAAGGATTGGAGAGGGAAAGAAAAAAAAGAAGGGGGGGGGGGCAAGGTGCTCTCCCTGGGTAGAGTGGAGCTGGTCTTGTCCAATAAACACAGGTGAGCAGCTCGACAGTCCAGGACCACCAGGCTGACTGACAGCTGAGAGCTCTCACTGACCGCCAGCTTTATGTTACATGACATGAGGAGTGCAACTGACAAAGAGAAACTGCCTGAGAGTGGGGGGGAGACGAGTGGGCGGAAGCGCACACACACACACACACTCACACTCACACACACACTCTCTCCCCTGTTCGCTTGTGCACTTGTTGGCTGTTTGAAGCGGCCACAAAATCGCAGACAAGAGGAACGCCGTGCTACTTCCCTTCACAGGTGAGCAGGAGAAGGAAACACCCCGGTGCTTCAGTGGGAGAAAGTGAGGAGTTGTGTGGGGGGGGGGGCGGGGTCAGAATGTATGCTGTGTGCCGACTGAATCTTTTCCACATGACGGGCCTCGGGCTGTTTTTGTCAACTGCACTCTTGAGCAGCGAGGAGTCAGGTAGTGTGACCACATGATTGCCCATGAGGCACTGTGGTGGGAGAGGCGGGGGGGGGGGGGGGGGGGGGGGGGGGAGAGAGAAGGAGTGAAAGGTGAGAGATCGGGGGGGGGGGGGCAGGGGGACAGGACCGATGCACCACGCATGATGAGGTGTAATCACAAACCCCATTCAGGGTGCAGCAGAGTTTGTCAACATACACACATTCACATTCCACTGTCTGTCAGCTCCATGACCCAAATCGAGCATGCTGTGTGTTAGTGTGTGTGTGCGTTTTTCCTCACACACAGAAGGATGCTTTCTGCCCATTGCCAACCAGGTAGTAACAGTTGCACTGTCTGGGCTTGTGGTTTTGCGGTGAGGAAGTCAAGATTCCAAGCTCTTGTAGGATTTCACCGCCGCCTGTATCCCTTTTCAGCCGGCGATCAAGTGATCATTATGAACAAAGGACTTGGCTTGTTGCCTCTGGAGTAAAAGCTTTTTCAGTGGCTGTGACCGTGTGGATTTGAAACTTTGGAAAAGCTACAGAAGAGAAGGCACTAGTCATGTTCAAAATAATTGAATGAGACACAATTAGACACTCAGTAATTCAAACTTAAAATGAAAAGAAACATGAACAAATTATTATAGAAAACATGAAACTAAAGAAAATCGTATTTACAGTTCAACAAAGTTATTTCATAAAAATGTAGGTCTTATATTCCCATATTAAGCCAAAATGTATTTTCATGAATGTATTTTAGTTAGTTAAAAAACAGATGGCAATTTCTGTGGATAACGTACAGCCTGATATCTCAAAATACTAAGAATTCAGCTTTGATGAGTCCTGTAACGTAAAGTGCACTCGGAGAGCATTTGAGCTCATCAGAAGGGTTACAATAGTGGACATTTAGTTTATGTCATAATGACAATATCCCTATAAAACACTGGGCTGTGAAGGGCTAACATAAACTGAGCGCTGTGTGTTCAGGCTGAAAAATGAGTCTGTGTGACAGTTTGGTGATAACACACAAGTTCAATCTGTCAAGACAATCAGCATTTAGACCTTGGGAGAAGAATGCGCGCCTGTGTGCGACCGATTCATTGGACACGATCACCTGCGAGTGAAGCGGCTCGTAATTCTTCCCACCTGAAATGAGGGGTTCAAACTAGTGTCAGGCCGCTCTGATGTCATGCCTGCCTCAGGTTGGGTTTCACAATAATCTCAGGCTCTTGGAGAGATGCCATCGGAGTCCAACTTCCGCACCCAAGCTTTCTCCAATTAAATATCGGGGGAAAGAATAACACGTGAAACACTAGATCCCGGCTCAGTTTTTAGGAAATTAAGGTGCAGCGGTTTCAATCAGTCATTTATAATATGAGGTGTTCATATACAAACTATATATGAAGGGGGCCTCAAAGTATGCAGCTGATGGGAATGTATCTTTTTAACATCTGGAAAATAGCATGAGGAGTTTTGAAAAAACAACTGGATAAAAGATAGAGAGAG